GAACACATAAATCTCCTTGTGCATCTCCATCCGAGTTCTTGGGTGACCGAATGCATTGTCAATGAGCAGTAATATATTGAGGGAGTCTTTTTTTCTGAGCAGTTGGTTTCAACAGTGGTCTTAAAATAATTCAGAGATCATGCTATAAACAGATATGCAGTCATTCAGTCTTTGTTGTTCCATTTATAGAGCACAGAAAGAGTAGATTTAGCATAATTATTTTGGGGTGTTTTGTTTTTTTACATTTAGCATAATTATCAAAGGCCCTAGGATTTTGGGAATAGTAAATGAGCATTGGCTTCAACTTAAAGTCACCTAGCCACATTAGTCCCTAACAAGAGAGTTAGCCTATCCTTTGAAGCTTTGAGGCCAGGCCTTGATTTTTCTTCTCTACCTATGAAAGTCCTAGATGGCATCTTCTTCCAACAGAAGACTGTTTTTCCTTCACTGGAAATTGGTTGATTAGTGTAGCCACCCTCATCAGTTACCTTAGGTATGTCTTCTGGGTAACTTGCTGGATCTTTTTCACTGACACTTTCTGCTTCATCTTGTACTTTTAAGTTATAGAGATGGTTTCTTTCCTTTAGTCTCATAAGCCAGCATCTGCTAGCTTCAGACTTTTCTTCTGCAGGCTCCTCACCTCTCTTGGCCTTCATAGAATAGAAGAGAGTTAGGGGCTTTCTTTGGATAGGCTTTTGCCTAAGGGAGTATTATGGCTCCTTTGATCTTTTATCCAGACTATTCAAATTTTTTCTTATCAGCAATAAGCCTAGTTTACCTTTTTTAAAAAAATCATTTATGTGTTCCCTGTAGTAGCACGGTTAGTTTTCTTCAAGAACTTTTGTTTTATATTGGCAACTTATCTGTTTAGTGTAAGAAGCCTAACTTTCAGCCTATGTCAACTTTCAACATACCTTCTTCACTAAGCTTAATCATTTCTACCTTTGTTTTAAAGCAAGATATAGATGGCTCTTCCTTTCACTTGAACACTTAGAGGCCATTATAGAGTTGTTAATTGACCTAATTTCAATATTGTTATGTCTCAAGGAATAGAGAGGTCCAAGGAGAGGGAGCGAGGGAACAGCTGGTTGGTGGAACAGTCAGAACACACACAATATTTATCAATTAAGTTTATGATCTCATTTGTTTATATTGTTATATTGCTTATATTATTAAGTTTATAATCTTATTTGATTGTACTTTGTGGTGCCCCCAAACAATTACAATAGTAACATCAAAGATCACTGATGACAGGTCACCATAAAAGATACAATAATAATGAAAAAGTTTTATATGTTATAAATATTACCAAAATGTGACACAGAGACATGAAGTGAGCACATACTGTTGGAAAGATGGCCACTGACAGCTCTGCTTGCCGCAGGGTTGACACAAACCTTCAGTTTGTTAAAACCAAAACAACAAATAAAAAATCCCCCAAATATCTGCAAGGCACAGTAATGAAGTTAAGTCAAACAAGGTAAGTCTGAATGCATGAGTAGGCTAGTATTGCAGAGAAGTGGAAAGTGGGTGACCACATAATGGGGAGCAGTTGGAGTCAGCCAGGACCTCAGTTTGGATGATTCCCAGGTGGTGGTGGTGGGGTTCTTTCGTTTCTTACATGGTTTCCCTTCACTCATTAAGTGCCTACTGTGTGCTAGTGCTCCAGTGGCTAACAAAACTAAATGTCCCTGCCTGTGTAAAGTGGGCATAATAGACAGGAAACCATGAAGCAAATCAAAAAAATAAAATAAGTAAAATAAAAGTTATGTTTATACTGTACTGCAGTCTAAGTGTATGAGATTGTTTAAAAAAAAAGTACTTCATACTAAAAATGCTAATGATCATCTGAACCTTCAGTGAATTCTAATATTTTTGCTTGTGGAGGGTCTTACCTCAATGTTGATGGCTGCTGACTAATCAGGGTGGTGGTTACTGAAGGTGTACAACGAGATTAGTGGGCACGATTGACAGGAAACCATGAAGCAAATCAGGATGCATGAGTGCTACACATTTTGAAGAGCAGAAGAAAGGTTAACATCGGAAATAGAGTTTGCCTATTCTGAGAGAATGTACACTACCAATGACCACTGAAATGAGCTCATAGAGCAGGAAACTGAGCTGTGAGAAATTCAGGGGTAGGGCATATGCAGTAGAATTTTCAGTTGATCAGTCCTCTGTCTCATAGAGATATATGGGAGTTTATCAAGGAGATGCGGAACCTGGGGTCGTTAGTAAGTGAATGCTTCGTGTTATGCTGCTTTTCTGCAGCCCTGGGAGGGTGGCTCATCCCTACCAGCAGGGGTCTTAGGGGTGTATCTGCCACCTGAAGCCATCATGGGTCAGCTGGACAGAAAGACCAACCAGTCACAGCTAGGTCCACAAGATAACTTAATGCCCTCTAGATTTTCATTCCATTGACAAAGAGGCAGATACTCACTTTGTCACCCTCCATACCAAACACTCAGCAACTTGAATCTGATTCCAACATCCAGCTTATTTCTACTCTAACATACTGTTACTAGAAAAGTAGTAAACACTGCTGGGAAGTGGGTGCTTTTAAACGTTTAAGTTGTCTTTGCCATGGAGGAGTGCTGAGTTCACATTCTTTATGGCTGCATCCCAGGATTTCCTCCTACATCCCAGGCTGCCCAGTGCATGGTCTGCAGGATTTCATTCTGGCTCTCTTTACTCTCTACTTTGATGATCTCCAACACCACCTGTTTATTAGACCCTTAATAAAATTAGCAAACTATGCTCAGGCCCCATTTCAAACCAATCAAATCAGAATCTCGGGGGTGGTGCCCAGGCTCAGTGTTTTTTATATTTTATTTTATTTATTTTTAAAGTTGGTGTCTCATTCTGTTACCCAGGCTGGAATGCAGTGGCACAATCACAGCTCATTATAGCGTCAACCTCCTGGACTCAGAAGGGACTACAGGTGTGTGCCACCATGCCCAGCTTTTTTTTTTTTTTTTGGTAGAGACGAGATCTCCCTATGTTACCTAGACTGATCTCAAACTCTGAGGCTTAAGCAGTCTTCCCCCCTCAGCCTCCCAGAGTGCTGGAATTACAGGCATAAGCCCCTGTGCTCAGTCTCAATGTTTTTTTTCAAAGCTCCCCATTGCTTTTTATGTTCAGTCAAGGTGAGGACTACCACCCTACTCCTTATTTAGTGATCTTACCCACTCATGGCCGCAGTTGTCACTTAAAACAATGAACATTCCTGGCTCAGCCTAGATCTTCCTTTTGCATTCTAGACTTTTACCTGCCTACTGAGTATTTCTCCTTGAGTAGCCCAACAAGCACTTGACCATAACCAAACCAGCCATCTTCTCCCTCAGTCATTCTCCTCTTACTGCACTTCTTATTTCGTGAAATGGCACTGGCAGTTGGGATATCATCCAAGCCAAAAGCCTGGCCAGCGTCTTTCACTTCTTCCTCCTCCTATCATACCTGCGTCCATCAGTCTACCTACTCAATATACCTCAAATAATATTGCCTCATCATGTACTTTCCAGTAGGTCTCCCTGCCTAGTCTCACTTTAGAACACCTTCATTCTCTTCCACCTGTGAGTTAAGCTTCGAACTCCCTTCAGGCCCCACAAAGTCTTTGGTGTTGTGCCCCTTTGGATCTGACTACCCCACCTTCATGACACCCTTTGCTATTTGCTATTTGAAAACTGGCTCTCTGACCTCCTTGCCTTTGTGTGTTTAGCTCCGGGGGATAGGGGGTGGCCTTAATGTAGCTCCCTCCACCGCTTCACCTGATCTGCTCTGAGTTATCAGACTTACCACAGTGTTCCCTTCCTCTGGGATGGCCTTCCCTGAAACATCTGGTTAGGTGTGCTGTCTCTGTGTGCCCAGAGCAACCTGTGCTTACCTTTATCATAGCCTTTTTTTTTTTTTGAGTTGGAGTCTCACTCTGTCGCCCAGACTGGAGTGCAGTAGCATACTCCCGGCCACCTCAGCCTCGACGTGCCGGGTTCCGGCGATCCTTCCGCCTCAGCCTTCCAAATAGCTGGAACTACTGGCGCGCTACCACACCTGGCTAATTTTTTGATCTATTGTAGAGATAAGGTCTCGCCAAGTTGCCCAGGTGGGTCTTGAGCCCGCGGGCTCAGGCAATTCACTCACCTCAGCCTCCCAAAGTGTGGGTTTACAGGCTGAGCCACCAAGCCTGGCTTATCATAGCCTTTTTAATAGACCACAATACCTGGCACTCCAGGTACAGTATAATTCCCATATACCTAGGAGCTACTTAAAGCAGGGGCTGTGACTTCTTTATTCTCAGCTAATAGTAGACACTTGCAGAGTATTTGTGGACAGAAGAGTGGCAGTTCCAGAATCTCTATATAGGAAAGACTTAGAGTCAGCAGTCTGATTGAAGAGGGCCTAGGGAATTTACCCTGAAACTGCATGTTTCAATTAGCATTTATTGTTTTTATTTAGTATTTAAAGTTACAAATTCTGAAAAATAATGATTTCTAAAAGCTATTCATATTTTATACAGAACTGAGAAAAATATCAGTTTTCCATATGTAGGGATATTATTTTAATTTATTTTTAGAGTCCTAATGTGTTCCTCCCCCCTCCTTAGGAAAGAAGGAAAGGAGAGAGGGAGCGAGTAAGAAGGATGCAGGGAAAAGCAAATTGAAGGATGGACCGAGAGCCACTTTGGAATTTTGTTAATTTTCTGTGGTTTTCAGTTGGCTGTACGTTGCTGGGGCAGATAATTCATAGTCAGACACATGCACCTGCCTTCCAACCATCACATTGTTGCCTTTCCCATAAGTTATAGTCTGTCTCATATGTTGTGTAAAGGATCAGCATTTTCTTTAAAATCATATTTCTCCCTTTTAAGTATTAGCGTCTCCTATAAATTGGATTTTAACTCTCATATAGAAAAGCATTATGGGTAATTACTGTTGCTCAGTATAGATTTCTGAGTCATCAGTCACCACTGAAGAGCCACGTGATCTGTTCACTCTCTCTGTTAGTTACCTTGTTTCTGGAGTTTTGGAAGCGGCGCCAGGCAGAACTTGAGTATGAATGGGATACTGTTGAGTTACAGCAGGAAGAACAAGCCCGGCCAGAATATGAAGCACGGTGTACTCATGTGGTGATAAATGAGATTACTCAGGTAAGGAGGATGCTATTTAGATACGATGTAGACTATTTACTGCAGTGGTTCTCCTCTTTGGCTGTGCATTGGAGTCACCTGGGGAGCCTAAAAAGCATCAATGCCTGGGTCCTATCACTACATACTCTGATAGTACTTAGTAGCCTGGGGTATGTTCCGAGTACAGCAATTTTTTAAAGCTCCTTTGGTGACTCTCATATGCAGCCAAGGTGAAGAAGCACTGCTTAGAACAAATGAACACAGGGAGACAGATGTGGTCCCTTCTTTCATAATAATAATAAAAATGAGGGAAAAAAATTAGACTATGACATAAATGTATAAGGAAAACACTGATTTTTATAGTGAATTCTCAATTTTTCACATGCACCTTCATGATTCCAGTTCTTTATTCACCCTTAACTAGCTGCCCCTTCTTCTTGTACTAAGCCTCAGTCACTGCTCCACCTTCTGGTTGGGATGTGCACAGAATAGCATGCCTCTCATCCTAAGGTCCGAGAAGGATGGACAAGGAAATATTTATCGAGGTCCAACTATGTTCAGGCACTGTTAGGCACTTTATATCACTAGAAAGATAGATTTGCTGCTACTACTAATACAAAGGGGAAAAAAAATATATATATATATATATGTATATCCCTGTATAATTTTCCAAAGCCCCTGAAAGATGATTTTTGAGTCATCTGCAATATTGCTTCTTTCCATCAACACAGAAAACTTAGAGCTGATTGTACATGCAGTCATCAGCATGAGAACAGTAGGTTCTATATAGGAATAGCTTTTGGAAAGAAAATGCTTTTACCAAGAGCATTTGAAAACATCCCCAACTATAGATTTTATAAATTGAATCACAGATTTACAGAATGTTGACACTAAAAGGTACACGGAGGGATCAGTTCAATCTTCTCCTTTTAAAAATGGGGGGAAATGAAATTCAGTTACCAGTAGAAGATGACATCTGTTTTTTTACAATGCTACAAACTTTAAATAATCTCTATTATGAGTGGTTCTCTCACTGTTTACTATAGAAGACAGGGTCAAAGTATGTGTTGTTGAAAGACTGTATATTCGCAAATGAAAACTGATACTTAAAATTAGATGTTCATAAAGTCTTTTGAGTATTAAAAAATAAAAGCTTACAATATCAGCAATTCCAGAAAAATATTGAAGAAAAGACAATTGGTCATTTAAACTTGACAATTTTATATTTAAAATTACCAACTAATAAGTTAAATTTTTATTGAAATGTTGCTTGTTAAATAATTGCAGATGAAGATTCTTTTATCTTTCTTATTTTACTTTTGTTGCTAACATGTCCTCCATTGGTTTAGAGAGGGCTGTAGTGTAATGGTGAAGTCTTGGGAATGAGATTGCCAGAGTTCAAGTCTGAACACAGTGACTTCCTAGTGAGGTGATTTTGGACAAGTTATCTAACTTCTCTGTGCCTTAGTTTCCTCGTCTATAAAATGGGAATAATAGAGTTGCTTCCTCATGATTGTCCTAAGGATGAATTGAGTAAGGTGTAGAAGCTACATAAAATAGTACCCAGCACAAAGTAAATATTATGTAAGTATTTGTAGCTATTATGGCCACTGTGCTGCAGCTGCTCTTACAGGCCAGGAAAATTGTGAGAAGTATTGATTTCTTCTATTAAGAATTTAAATATATTTCTATGAACCATAAAATGGATACTCTCTAAAAATTCACCAAATTAATATATTAATACAAAATTTACCCAAGAAACACATAGTGGATACCTAGTATTTGCAGACGCCTAAGAAACTTTTTTCCTTCCTGGGCTCTGTGCTATCATGGTAATCATTTCTAAAACCTAAGACAAGCCCCAGAAGTGTAGCTTTACATCTCTGCCTAGACTTCTCAGCTCAGATCATGGCAGATAAACAGCTTACGATTCATGCTTGCATTTTCCAAAAACTGCTATTAGAATAAAAACTGCTTATGTTTGATTATGTGTGTGTGTGAAAATGTTAACAAAAAATGTGTGGTTAACCCAAATGTCGATCAACTGGTGAAAAATAAATTGTGGTACATGTATACAATGGAATATTATTCTGCAATATAAAGCAACAACCTGAAAAAAAAGTGCAACTATGAGTAAAGGAGACTATGCTTGCAAACTCATTTTATAAAAAAGGTAAGCCTAACGTTTATTGACAGATCAGGAGAAAAATAATTTCATTGGAGTAATTCCTTGATTGACTAAACTTCTTTTTAAAAAAAAAAAAAAATTAGGAAGAAGAGCGCATTCCCTTTACCACCTGGGGAAAATGTCTACGGATAACCCTCTGTGCAAGTGCTGTCTTTTTCTGGGTAAGAGTCTATCACAAGTTTTTTTGAATAATTTAAATAAATTTTTACTATACAATGAAATTTTTAATATTTAGCTTTAAATGTTGAAGAAACTTAATGCCAAGCCTAGAAACTATATAATCTCAGAGAGAGAGAGAGGCTTCCAGAGAACTACTAAGCTGCCACATAGTGCAACTCTCAAAGTCCAAAATACCTTATCTGTTCACAGTGGTTCTTCCAGTTCCTTTCACCTCATTTGTTTAAATCAGGTCAGTGGTTCCGGATTTTCCATTTTCTAGTGAAGAGACCAAATGGAAGGCATTAAGAATTCTAAACTTTTTCAGCAGCAACAACCAAAATAAAATGTCTAGGAATACCCTTAACAAAAAATAACAGGAACTAAAACATAATAAGAAAATATAAAAACCACTAAGACATTGGAAAAAGCCTTAAATGAATGATTCTAGATATAAAGGCATTTCTAAAATATCAGAACATATCAAATTACTTTTGGGTTTATTATTAATAAAATCATATTAGTAATGTAATAATTTAGTGAGAGTTTTATTGACTCAAGAACAACCAAATTAGAGACTAGGACATGAAGCCTAGAAATGGGCCCTGATATCAATAAGAATTTAATATATGAGAAGGGAGGCATTTTAAATCCATGGAAAAAATAGAGATTATTAAATAAATGATAATACATGTTAGCTATTCAGGAACAAAATAAAGGTTAAAGCCATACTTCGGGCCATATATTGTAATACATTCCAGAAACATTAAAAAAAAAAGACCATAAAAAACTAAAAATAAATACTGACAAATGTATGATCTCTAGATGTGAAAAGACTTTCTAACCTTACTAGCAGTGGAAGAAGTTTCAGAGGCAAATATTTAAAGATTTCCATAAATTATCCTAAGTTTAAACAAAACACCAGAAGAAATATTTATTAACAATAGGCAAAGAAAGGGTCAATACTTTTAATAATAGAGAGTTCAGATCACCGAGAAGATAACACCAAAGATCTCAGTAGCTAAAGAGACAGAGAACATAAATACACATTTACAAAAGAAAAAGCAGAATGGCCAATAAGCATGTAAAAAATGCTGAGCCTCAATATTAGTTAAATTTACACATGTCAGAAAGAGATGTAATTTTTCACCTTTCAAATAATAAGGCTTAGTCAGTGTTTGTGAGAATAAAGAGGATAAAGTACAGGAATCAGCTGTTCTCTTACTGGGCTATTGGAATTGTCCATTGTTCCAGCCTTCCTAGAAAGCTGCTTGGCAGTGTGTAGTAGTGAGAGTCTCAGAAATATTCATAGTTTTTACTCGTTTAGCATTTAGAAGCTTTCAATCAGGAAGTATTTCAAATCGGTAAGATTTATTCACATTTAGTGTATATATTATGTATGTAGATACATATATAGATACTCACACATATGTTTATAAAAATGCATCTCAGCCAAAATATTCTACTTCTAACCATCCATACAGTGGAATATTGTGCAGCCATGAAAAAGTATGCTTATGAAAATATTTTAATGGCATGCAAAATTGCTTGTGGTTTATGATATGTTTACTGGAAAGATAAAATTAATATGTAAGCTGGGCTTGGTGGTTTAGCCTGTAATCCCACACTTTGGGAGGCTGAGGTGAATGAATTGCCTGAGTCCGCGGGTTCAAGACCCACCTGGGCAACTTGGCGAGACCTCATCTCTACAATAAATCAAAAAATTAGCCGGCCGTGGTAGCGTGCGCCTATAGTTCTGGCTACTTGGAAGGCTGAGGCGGAAGGATCACCGGAGCCCAGCAGGTCGGGAGTGGCCATTACATTCCAGTCTGGATGACAGAGTGAGACTCCAACTCAAAAAAAAAAAAAAAAATTAATATGTAAAGTGGTTTTAAATAAGCAGTGAATAGTTCTGATGGAATTATGCCTACATGTAGATATTAGACATACTGTTTTCTTTTTAAAAAAATTTTAAATTATTTTTGTGATTAGGAGTCTTTCAGTTATAGTTGATAGAAAGTCAGTCTTCAGTTATTTTAAACAACAAAATTGGAAAGGATAAGATTTATTGGTTCCTGAAATTGAAAATTTCAAATCTGAGGCATGGCATCAGTCAGGGCTAGTTACTGCAGACTACATAACATCTGGTTTTGTTCTCTTCTTACTGCGTCAGGTAGCCTCTCCATATGGTGGGTATAGCCCCTCCCCCACCCAGTGGTAGCAGAATGGCTACAGCATTCCACATCATATTCAAGATAACAAAGGTCTTTTTTAGTGGTTTCCTCTATTGATAGGGGAAACTGCTGTTTTCCATGGGCACTAGCAGAAGTCTCCTTATATCTCAACAGCTTTTATTGGGTTATATGTCAATCCCTGAATCAGTGAAATGAGATACTGTGTGTCTCACACCAATCAGGATTTACCTCTGGAGCACAGGGCAGGCCATCCCACCCAAAACTCAGGCTTAAAAATAGAGGAGGAGTTATTCCCTCCTCCTCCTCCCCACACAGCCCCCCACCTCCTGCAAAGCAAAATCTGCATTGTCTTCTAAGATGAGGAACCATCTTAGATCCAAACCAGCAAAACTACCCACTCCATGTCCACTACAGGATACTTTCAAATTTTTCACAGTGAGTATATGCTATAGTTATGATCAAAAAAGTATTGAAGTTAGAAGAGATAAATAACAAAACTTGAGGAAAAACAATGGAAAGCTTCCCTGGTCCTATGAGGAATTATCAAGCACCCTGAAAAAGTATGGGGATTTTACCGGGTTTATAAAGCTCAGCTCTGGAATGCGTTTCATAAACCACATGGGAGGCAGTGCCATGGGAGGTTAGTAGTGTGTCTGTGGAATCTTCGGAGATCCTAGTTCTTACAAGCTGCTTAATCTTGGGCAAATTGCTTTATCTCTCGCGGCCTGTATTTCCTCATCTGCAAAAAAGATATAATACTACCTACCTCACAAGCCTGTTATTGAGGATTAAACAAATACACATGAGCTGAGGTGAACAGTAGGCATTTAAAGAATATTAACTATAATTGTCACCTAATAGTTATAAAAATTATGGAGTTGATTTTTAAAAAGTAAAATACATTTAAATGATCTGTAAATGTTATACTGACAGAAGAAGACTGATTTCATTTTCTGAAATTTTGCTAAGCCTTAGCTAATTTTTACATATACACACACAAAATTCTTATTCATTTCATAAGTGTTAAGACTTAACTGTGAAGGAAAGGAGATAATGAGAGAGATTACAGAGAGAAATACGCCTTCTCTACAAGCAGGTAGCTTAAAAAGTAAGAAAAACATCTTTGTAACACTCTGGTCACTGTAGTCATAGCTAATGTTTATATAGTACTTTTCATGTGCCTGGGCTTAATGTTCTGTTTTTACCCGTAGTAACCCATTGAATCCCCAGCAGTTCTGTAAGTTAGGTGCCATATTATCCTGAGAGGACATCAGAGCTCCAGAATACAGGATATTGGGGTATAAGATCCCACCGTTAGTGGCAGAGCTGGATTTCAACTGCAGGAATCTAGCCCCATGGCCATCCTGTGATCACTCACTTCACTGTTCTCCCCTGGTGAAAACCAGCCTCTGTTAATGTCAACTACAGGACATGATTTTCTTGGTCCTCAATTTTCCGTTCTCCGTAGCTTTTTTTCTTATGGCAGCCATCACAAGCAGTCAGACACCTTGAGGATGTGGTTCTGGAGAAAATAAATCTAGGGAAAACAGTTTAAAGATGCATCAACAATAATGTTTAGTAGTGTGTATCAATTAAGGAAAGTTTGTGGTACCTTTAAAGTACATTGTTCGGTGGCCAGAGAAAATATGCTTCCTGAGAAGATGAAATCCTACTGTGTGCAACTATACTTTTGACACCACCACAATACTGGGGACAGTGCTGCCAAAAATACAAAGGGGCGGAGTGAGGCGCCTGATGTATGTAATCCCAGCACTTTGGGAGTCTAAAGTGAAATGACTACTTAAGCCCAGACATTTGAGGCTGCAGTGAGCTACAATCACACCACTGCACTCCTGCCTGGGGAGCAGAGTAAGACCCTGTCTCAGAACAAAAAACAACAAAAAAAAGGAAAAACAAACACAATGGACTCATGACATGAATCTTGTAGAATCTTGTAGAAATCTTGTAAAAATAGCTGCCAGTTTAAGTTGTGAGTGTGAAAAGCATGTGAAGCTTTTTATCAGTGGAAACCTGCTACCAATACCAACAGTTGGCTCAGGGCATCTCTGTGGCAGCCTCACTGGCCCTGCTCAGAATCTCCCCTGCTACAGTGATTAAGACAAAAGCTAGCATCTGCTGATACCTGAATCAGGGAGAGTTTCTCTGTTACAAGAAAACATATCTCCTTAGTGGAGTGTTATTAACTAAGCTAAAAATATTTATTCAACCTAAATAATTTAGTAGTCTTAGATGTTTTATTCGGTTTTACACTCACACTTTTTTCTTCTACTGGAACATGCTACTAGTTATTCCATTTTTATGCTGTCTGAAGATACACTCCCCCCCTTTTTTAATTTTCTTTTCTTTTAGAGCAACTTTAGATTTACAGAAAAACTGCCCCAAAACTATAGTTCCCATATCCCATCTCACCCAGTTTCTCCAATTGTGAACATCTTACCCAAGTGGTTGTACCCTCTTTGACTTTGATAACGCCCTTTTAAAAATTTAACACTGCAGATTTTCTACCCTTCTGGTGGCGGTTATGGGAGATTTGCGCTTGCACCTTGTTAATTTAATGTGGGGTCAGTTTTGATAGTTGGTGAGTTTCATGCCTCTGTGTTTATTGTGTTTTCAGATCCTGTTGATCATCGCTTCAGTCATTGGGATCATTGTGTATAGGCTCTCAGTGTTCATTGTATTTTCTGCAAAACTTCCCAAGAACCTTAATGGAACAGACCCAATCCAGAAGTATCTGACTCCACAGACAGCCACATCCATCACTGCCTCCGTCATCAGCTTCATCATCATCATGATTCTGAACACCATCTATGAGAAGGTGGCCATTATGATTACTAACTTTGGTAAGGTCCTACTATAGCTTAGGTCATTCCTGAGATATTTTTAGAACCTGGTAAAAAAAATAGAGACTGTGTCTTTGAGGTGTTTCAATTCCAGCAGGTTACAATTTTAGGAGTTTTTAGGCATAAACATATTTTCTCTAGCCTGTATAGGAAATGAATTATCCACAGCTTTGCATTAGTAAAAGGCACAAAGCAAAGACAATCATTACAGTGTCCTAGCTCTGTGTAAACAGATCAGTGCTGAATAATATTTTCAATTACATTAGATCATGTACTCTATTGTTGAAAGTAAATAGTCTCTTTATTGCAAATAAGTGGAATAGGGTCATGGTTCCAGTGGCAAATATGTTCCTCTGTTGCTGAGAGGACAAGCAATCATACTGTTACGTGTCTTCCCCCTTGCTGTTCATATTAATACAATTCTCGTCCACTTTGGCTTTTGTAAAGTGTTTCTTTTCTCTGGCTTGTATCCCAGGCAGCTGCATAGTGGCCAAAGTTAAGTGCTTCCCACAGGCCGCATACATCTGAGTGGTTCTCTGAATGGGCTGCTCGGTGGCCATCTAAAAATGATCAAACTGATTTCAAATTCCAAAGTAGGAAGATGACCTGTTTTGTCTTCCGTAATGCCTTCAGCAAGTTGCCTTTTGTTTTGTTTGTTTTCTTCAACACACCTACCTTATTGCCACTCAGAACGATAAGAGAATATCGTATCATTTAGCAGCCAGTTCAAAAATAATTTTCTGTCAGTTATACCTATAACATTTCTTGCTTATTTGGTAACATTGTACTTGTAAATTTTAAGGAATAGTTGATTTTTTTTTCCCATGTGGTATATTGTATTCATGTAGAGCTGCTGTAGGGAGAGAACTCTTACAACAATGTGTGAACTTAGAATTAACACAGTGGCTATATTAAGGAATGCAAGACAGCTTAAATGGAAATAGTGTGAACTGTATTTTTTTTAACATGTTAAGTCATGTATCAGTGTCTTTGGATTAGGGTCTCAAAATTGTTCACAACTTTAAAATCTTTTCTTTCTTTTAAATACAGAACTCCCAAGGACCCAGACTGATTATGAGAATAGCCTAACCATGAAGATGTTCTTATTCCAGTTTGTCAACTACTATTCTTCATGTTTCTACATAGCATTCTTTAAAGGCAAATTTGTAGGCTATCCGGGAGACCCAGTTTATTGGTTGGGAAAGTACAGAAATGAAGAGGTATGAATATAGAATCATTTTATCTTGCCAATTTAAGCTGCTTTGTGTTTTCTTCTGTTGCCCAATGAATAGTTTCTTTATTGTAAATTCCTTAGATTTCATTTTAACCTAAACAGAACAAATATCAGAAAAATAAAATTAATGACCGGGGCAGGCACAGTGACTTATGCCTATATTCCCAGCATTTTGGGAGGTTAAGGCAGGAGGATCACTTGAACCCAGAAGTTTAAGACTAGCCCGGGCAGCATAGTGAGACCTAGTGTCTACAAAAAAGTGAAAAAAAGTTAGCCGAGTGTGGTGGTACACGCCTATAACCCCAGCTACCCAGGAGGCTGAGATGGGAGGATCAGTTGACCCCAGGTGTTTGGCTGCAGTGAGCTGTAGTCATGACATTGCCCTCCAGCCTGGGTGACATAGGAAGACCCTGTCTCAAAAAAAAAGAAAAGAAAATTAATGACTGTACTCCAAGTTAGACCCATTTAATATTTAAATGGGATTTTATTTTTAACATTGCAGTGTGACCCAGGTGGCTGTCTTCTTGAACTGACAACTCAGCTGACAATAATCATGGGAGGTAAAGCAATCTGGAATAACATACAAGAAGTATTACTGCCGTGAGTATTAAATTGTGTAATCCTGGGTAACAGAACAGGGGATAGAACAGCCTTATCCATCCAAATCATTTGCCTGCATGTCCACATAGCTGTACATCCATCCTCTAAAATGAATTAGAATCTGTTGTTATTAAAAGTCTCCAGATAACATAGTCCAGCCAACAGTGTAAACGTATCCAGTGTTTAACAACTGTGGATTTAAAGCCTTTATACTTAAAGTAAATTCCCTCCTGCTGTAGTTTATGCCTCGTAGGTGGTCATGGTGACTGACTAATCACAGCCCTTTAAGAGATGGCCCTCGTTAGACCTGAAAACTATGTATTTCCACAACTTCTCACATCCTTCTTTTCCCCTCTCTTTAGATGATGCATTTAAAAGTCAGTGAGAGTAATTTGTTGAATTCTTAGTATGTGCCAGTTACTGTATTAAATGCTTTATATCTTTCTTCTCTCATTTAATCTTCCAAACTATCCTTACTTTTAAACTCCTTTTTGCAAATGTAGATCTGTGACTTAAGGACGTTAAGTGATTTACCCAAGTTTACATAGACAATAAGAAGTTATCGTGGGATTTAAATTCAAGATTCCTTAACTCCAAACCCATGTGCTTTCAAGAATAGAGGTTCTCCTGTCACCTTCTAAGGCACTGGGATACCTAACATTTTCAGAGATGTTGTCTAAAATAATAACCACCAAGGTTTTGACCCACTATGTATCCCTAAAAAATGAGAACAACGGGGATATAGTTGTTCTTCAGATGTTAGCTAAGATTCCACTGTCTTTTAAATTTTCATTTAAGCCCCCTTCCATATCATAGTAGAAAACTTACTGCCATTTACAATTTCTGCATATTTCAGTGAGCTTATTTTATTAGCTTTCTATGTTTCTATAATAGAAATTAGAAAATTACTGGGTTAAAACAACATATACCAGGGGTGAGGGGCATATAACATCAAAAAGGGGTACCAAAAGGGGGACCAGAAGAAGACCCAAACTTTGCGATGTCCACTTGTATACCTGATCCTGAATCGTACCCCTACATCTTTAAAATAAAAAAAACACACATGTAACATTTTACTTGCCTGGAGGTCAGAAGCCTCACTGGGTTAAAATCAAGGTGTTGGCAGAGCTGTGTTCCTTTCTGAGGGCTCCAGTGTGAATCTCCTCTTTGCCTTTTCTAGTTTCCAGAGGCCACCCACATTCCCTGGCTTGTGACTGCTCTTCTCCATCTCAGAGCCAGCAGTTTCCTTTCTGACTCTTCTGTAATTACCTCTCTCTTGCTTTCTCTCTCCTCTTTCTTCCTCTCTTGTCTCCTTTTCTTTGTCTTTTCCTTCCTCCCACTTGTGTCTACCCCTCCTCCACCCACTTCTACCTCCTTTCATTTTGTTTGTTTGCTTGAGTCAGGGTCTCACTCTGTTGTCCAGGCTAGAGTGCCCTGCCATGATCATGATGACCACAGCCCACGGCAGCCTTGACCTCCTTGGTTCAGGTGACCCTCCCACCTCAGCATCTTGAGTAACTGCCTCTTTTCATTTTGAAACAAAGAAACTCCACCTTTTAAAAGAATCTGTTATTCCATTATACAACTGGGATTTTTGTAACTTAACATCCTCTTTACTCCACCCTCCAGCAGTTTTGCTCTGTCTTCCCTCCTCCACATTTAACTTTCCCCTCCTTTCTCCTGCCTCCCCTGACCATTCTTTTTTCTCTCCCCCATCTCTGAGTTTCTGTTCATTCCTTGGACTCTGACTCTGGGTTTCAGTGTATCCTTCCTGATTTCTTCACCAGGGCTCATTCTCCTTCTTCAATGGGAACTATGAGGGTCTGTCTCTAAACAAAGATATTTCTCATTCCACTGCCCCCCTCCACCTCCTCCAAAAAAGGATTCTGGCATTTAGCTGTGAAATTAATTTTTTTTATTCTACTGTGGAGAAAACAACCCTTACTTTCATTGAGCTCATATTCAGATTTTCCAGATAAGTAAAAGTAGGTCATGCACAAATAGTACTGTGTTTGTTTCTCTGTGAAAACAAATATGTAAAAGAGAGGAAAGTCTTAACTCATTCTTAGATCATTAAAATGTGTTTTCTGAATGAAGTATGTTAAGTGTTTAACACTGCGTTTTGATAGCTGGTTGGTTGTCAGCAAGGTATTCTCTGACTTAAAAAATTAAGGGAGAAGCAAGGTATATTTCCTAAACTAGTATTAAGAAAATCATATAAAATGAAATTTGAAATATTTGAAAACAAAGGATGAATGATAGGATCCATGGCCTGTTTATACTTTTACTTCAAGTAAGCTTATTGTTTGAGAATTACAGTGACATAAACTTTGCCTTTAAATGTTTCTCCTCCAAGCCTAAGATATTTAGGCAGTGTGTTTTTCATTTTGTTTTTATTTTATTTATTTATTTATTTATTTTAAAGATGTGAGGTACAATTCAGGGTTAGGTATACAAATGTTCATTATGCAGGTAGCTTTGTTGATGAGGTGTGCTCCCCCTTCCCCAGGCAGGTTCCCACTACTGCCAATCACGCTTCCCCCCACCCCTCCTGGTAGTTTCCTGCTATTGCCAATCCTTTTCTTATAGTCTTATGATAATTGTTCAAGGTACACTTATGAGTGAGAACATGAGATACTCAGTTCTTTGTTTCTGTGATACATCGCACAGTGTTATAGACTCTAAGTCCATCAGGTTGCTGTGAAGTTCATGATTTTGTTCTTTTTTATGACTGTGTAATATTCCATCGTGTATATGTACCACATTAGGCAGTATGTTTTAAACGATCTGTTCTTTGTTTAAAAACTGAGAATGCTAACTAACTGCTAGCCAGAGTAGGGAGTGACTTCAGCTGCTGCTTCTCTTTGTGAAGATGTCCGTCTGCTTGCTTTTTCCATACAAAATCCTAACATTTTAAAGATACATCAGTTACCCTTGCTACCCAAAACTCTACCTGCTCCAAAACTAGATAGGAAGGGAGAACAGAGCCTTAAGTCAGCAGTTGTTTTTACATCATGTATGTCAAAAAGAACATGGATAAATATATTTCACCATAAATTGACCTTCCTCTATTCTCCTCCCTTGCATTCCTCCTCCCACTTCGGGTCCATACCCCTTGACTAGCATTCTTGGAACAAGGAAAACAGCGTATCTGGCACAGGGATTCAGGTTCCCTCTGGGGTCTCCCCAGCACCTAGACTAGTACGTGGCGTATAGCAGACACTCAGTACAAACCAGCTGAGTGAATGAGCGCCTCCCTTGAATGCTTCAAATACACAATAGCAGTAAGCCATAGAATTATTTGTTGGACCCAGAGAACAAACTCAGAACTTTTTGGTATTCCAGGCTTTACTTCGTATTTTGATATTTGAGGCATTCCTGGGGATTTTATTCTGTACTTGACAAAAGGCTAGTACAATTCCTGTGTTAAACAGCTTACTCTGGAGAAAGTTTTATGATAAAATGTTAAGGAAAATAGTGAGAATTAAGTATCCAAAATGTCTGGTGTTTAGATAGTGGATGGCTGTAATTTTTCTTCCTTTATATACTTTCTATGTTTTTCACAATAGGTATGCACTACTTATAATAAGAAAAATGAACTGCTATAGGAGAAAATTCACCTTCTCAAGATATGATTTGGAGAGAGGATGAGCCAGAGATGTACACTCAGAGAGTCCTAAATACAGCTAGCCCTCACTGTCCACACTCTCTAAGTTCAGGAACAGTAAACTCCAGCATGAAATAGAATCCAATAGTGAAGAATGTTTGTGTTTCAAAATTAGTAAGTGGGAACACTACAGAATGTCCTAAACAGAAATGATTATTATCTTTAATATATGCATTAAATAAGATTATGGACCAGGTATGGTAGCTGACTGGGTACAATGTCTGACACCAGTAATCCCAGCACTTTGAGAGGCTGAGGTGAGAGGATAGCTTAAGCCTAGGAATTCAAGATCAGCCTAGGCAACATAGCAAAACTGTGTCTCTAAAAAAACAAAAACAAAACAAACAAAACAAAAAACTAGCCAGGATGGTGGTGCGCACCTATAGTCCCAACTACTTGGGAGGCTGAGACAGAAGGAGCACCTGAGCCCAGGAGGTTGAGGCTGTGATGAGTCATGATCGTGCCACTGCACTCCAGCCTAGGTGACAGAGTGGGACCTGACTCAAAAAAAGAAAAAAAAAGTTAATGAAGAAGATGAAGAGAAATGAGGTGTAAAGTGCTTTTCACCATGCTTTGCACATAATAAAGACTTAGTAAAGCACAACTAGCCGGGCTCGGTGGCTCAGCCTGTAATCCCATGCTTTGGGAGGCTGAGGTGAGTGGATTGCCTGAGCCTGCGGGTTCGAGACCTGCCTGGGCAACTTGGCGAGATCTCATCTCTACAATAAATCAAAAAATCACCTGGGCATAGTAGCACATGTCTGTAATTCCGGCTACTCGGAAGACTGAGGCGGAAGGATTGCCAGAGCCCAGCAGGTCGAGGCTGCAGTGGCCGGGAGCGGCCACTGCACTCCAATCTGGGCGACAGAGTGAGACTCCAACTCAAAAAAAAAAAAAAAATAAGCACAATTTATTATGATCTGGCTATGATGATGCATATAGTAAACTCCTAAGGAAATTATTTTGCAACCCTTGCTTCTAGCCTTGTCCAGGATAAAAAGTATCTGTTGTCAGTATTAAACATTGTGTAGGTGATTCTCATGTGAAGTCAAGATTGAGATCCCTGCACTAGAATCATAGTCCAGTGGAAAACCCAAAAGACCAAGGGCAAGGGAAGATGGACTACAACCCAGGATTACCTGTTACAGAAGAGTCGCTTAATTCAGGAAAACTCTGCACAAGACTCAGAGTCTGTAGCTAAGAAAAGAAACCAGTCAGAAGGACTTCAGACACTATTCTATATGAGTGGAAGAGGCAGAGCAGGACAAAAGGAAAGCACTAGATGAGTTGGTAACACTTGTGGTTGTCAGGACAGAAGTTTCATCCTAAGTCCAAATTGTGTGATTTGGGGGCCGAATAGAAAAAGACTTTCTTTGGGGACTTGGAGAGGATTCAGCAAGATGCTGCAGGTGGAAGTGTGGGAGGCTGAGCAATAAAAAAACCCGATCGAAACCCAACCCAGGAATCTTGAGGTTAGGTGTCACAAAGGGTGATGGACATAAGTGGTTTTTAGTGTTAACCTGAGTCAAAAGCCTCCTGGATCGGCTGCAGAACTGCAGATTCTTGTGCTTACCTCAGATCTTTTGGTCGAGGCCTAGGAAGCTGCACTATTAACAGGCATTCTATGTCATTCTTATAAGTGCTGAGGACAGAACCACTGCTCCAGGTGGTCTGTGTCCCTGAGCTGAGATCCTACATAATGTAGACTATTTTCAATTGGCCTCAGCCTGTATGGATCAACAAAAAATCCCATGCAAGGGGCTTTGATGTGTTAGGAAATGAGCTACATCCTTCACCTTTGTTTTGAATCATTGATCCTGACAGCAGCCCTGGACAATGTAGTTTTTATTATTTTAACTTTACCAAAGTTAAACAGCTATTAAGCAGTGGAGTATGGATTAAGATTCAGGGATGTCTGAATCCACATTCCTCCGCTTTCCACTGCCTCCTGCTGCCTCCCTGATGTCATCAATGAGAAAGAAGTGGGGAAAGGTTGTGAAGCCAGGGGCTTGCTCTGTGGTAGAGACGCTCCTGTTGGTAAAGCTTGAGTAGTAGTCGGTGAAAAGTTAGCCCTGAGATCAGTAGCAGTAGGAAGCCAAGCATGGTGAGCCATGTGTATCCCTACCTCATGTGCACATGTGCAACACGTGCACACATGGTGGAGAGGAGGTCCGCTTGGTGTTCTTGCGGCAGCTATCCTTATGGTGGTACAATGCTTTCTCATTGTCAGAATTTGAAATCCATACCAACATGTTGTTTAACCAGCCGAGACTTAGCCAGCTGTGCTGTCTGAATTTGAAGTTGCTTCTTGTTGTTGTACCTCTTCTGATAAACTCCACAGGTAACCCACAAGTCGGCAGTTGCTTGAGGGGATACAGTTTTTTATGCTACAGGTGCACACCTCATTTTACTGCCAACTCAGATTTCTTTTCCAGACATGTTGCCATTAAAAAAAAAAAAAGGAAGCATTTATCTAGGCCACAAGACTGAGTGACCAAAAAATGTGGCATAAAAGAGGAGACAACAGTCAGCTCTATCAGGGCAGTATCCAGTGGTGGACAAAGCATTGGGACACCATCAAGGCCGTGTTCTCTCCTAGCTCTGTACTGTGACCTTGAGGAGCTATTTCACTTCTCTGGCCCTTGACTGGTTCAATTTAAATTAGGTCTTGAACCCATTTTATCTCATGTTCAATTGTATCTCTTCTGTTCAGTGCCCTCCTGTGCCTCCTCACTGGCCTCAAAGATTTAAAAAAAACAGACACCCAGATTCTCCCAGTAGTCTCTTAGCCACATCCTCCCCACAGCCAACAGGCTTGTTTCCTTCTCACCTAGAACCACTGTGCTGTCTGTGGAATGTGGAAGGCCTGCCTCCTGCCTCAGGGTCTCTGTCGTCACTGTTCTCTCTGCCTGGAACCTCTTCCCCCACGTTGCTGGCCCCTTTGCCTCCTTCACTTCCTTATTCAATCTCATTCTGAGGGAAGCCATCCCTGGCCACCATCCCCACTTCTCCCTAGACACGAACGCAAACATTCCTTGCCCTGATCGTCACTAGCTCATATACTATGTCCTTATTTAGTTTATTTGCTCTGGTGATTTTGAAGAGACCAAGACCATTTTGAATGATGTTGGGGTAAGGGGAATGAAAAAACAAACAACTAAAGTTGATCAAATGAGGGAAAATAACTTCAAAATTAAACAGCCCACAGAAAAAAAGAGGTAGGAGAAAAAAATATTATCATTTGCAATCTTGACAAACACAGGTACATTGTCCCATTTTCCAAAATATTTGGGGGTAGGGAGGCAGTAATAAAAAGAAATTTAGCATGCAAACAAAAACTTTCTTGGAAAGGTTACATGGGTTACATGTTCAGCTTTGACATCACCACAAAATACTTTTATGACCTTGATCTGACAATATTCTAATTTATAATTTAATCTTTTTGGCAGCTGGATCATGAATCTAATTGGACGGTATCACAGAGTTTCGGGGTCAGAAAAGATAACCCCACGATGGGAACAGGACTACCATCTACAGCCCATGGGCAAACTGGGATTATTTTATGAATATCTTGAAATGAGTAAGTTGTTAGTGACGTTTTAAGTGATAAAATATATAGGAGTATGTTTTGGATCCCAAAAGCGTTTGTTATGGAGCCAAATTAACATTTACTTATTGAAATGAAGAGGATTGTGTTTTTCTCCACTAGATAAAATTATACAGTCAGGCTTTCAAATAAGGTGGCTGTGTGTGTCTTTGTCAATATTTATGTTGTACAAAGCTGAAGATATATTACTATGCAGTGAAATGGAATATTCATTGAGGTACAACTTTACCATTAATTCTCAAAGCACTCTAAGCATGTTGTCTGAGAATGAACTCAGCAACTATTATTAGATGTGATTCAACTTGGGCTGGAGTCCATGCAGGCACAGCTGTTGACCGATACACTTCTGAACCAAGTCATTTAAGAAAGCCTTCAGAAGCCTGCTGCTTCGTGGCAGAGATGATCACAGGGTTCTCTCTGTCACACTGTGTGCCTGTCTTTGCCAGCATATCTATTTCTTTTGGCTAGTGGTTCTGCCTGGTTCCTTGAGTGACCTGATGGCTAATCACTGGCTTGACGTTGGAACCATTGTGCTGATCTGGAATTAAGAATTTAGCACAGGACCCCTTCTTAAATGTCTTTGTCCATTTGTATATTATTTGCTTGGGCTCTTCTTCTCTTCTGTTGAACTTGATTTTTGAGCTCTCAGTTGCCTTTAAATGGAAGCATCTCGAAATAGATTTCCATAGGAAACACCATCTTTTCTATTATGCATGACACGCTTATATCTAATAGACGGCTAACAATTTACATGTTTTGTATCTGCCCTTTCAGCTAACCATTCCATTGAATTACAATTTTTTTAAGCTTAGGAGAATAGAAAAAGAAGCACATCATTTTGGTTGACAGGCCTTGCATTTATGCATAGAGGTTTGCATGTTTGCAAAGATACCCCTTTGTGGTTCCTGTTTACAAGTCTGCAGATAGAAGGCTGTTTTTTAAATCACATTCTATAAATAAAATAATTGCTTTTAAAAATATACATTATACATGGGAGCACATCTGCCTCCTTCAGTGAGTAAAAGGTTCATCTTGTGGCTTCTTCCGCCAACAATACTTTGCAGCAGCCTGGTCTGATTTGAAATTCATTTTTATTATGTTTCATGGCCAGAGGTTTTATTAAGGATGTAGCTTCAGTATAATGTAGAAGCTTTATTTATTTTTTTATTCCGTTTATTTTCAAAAGGACTGTAAAACAGTTACCTCTTATTCAAAAATGAGTTATAATTGTAAATATTTCTTACTGGAGCTATAATCAGTATTAATAGCAACACCCTGGGGTTGAATATTATTTGTTACTTTAGCACCCAAAAATCTTGAGGGGAAAAAGAGTTATTTTTCTGTAGTTGATTAGTAAAATAAATAACATTGAAAGGAAAAGTTACAGGGTCAAGCTTTGGGGAGAAGCTGATAAGACTTTCAGAGTTTCATAGGCTCATTAAAATAGTTATCAGTTAAATAATTCAGCCTCATCCTGCACTACAAAAAAAAAAGAAATAACAGCTGTTAGAGACTTATTTTTAGGTTTATTAAATTGTTTTCCTGTTATCCAAATAATACCTAATGACTTAGAAAACTTATTTTCTGAGAATAGGCAGTCTGTTGTGTGTTCAATAGTAGAGTGAAATCTGTTCTTCCAGTCTGTAGAAGATAGATTTCCAAATTCCTTTTATTGGTTTTGTGTGTGTGTGTGCGCATGTGTACGTGCGTGTGTGTGTGTGTGTAGACAGGGTCTTGCTTTTTTTTTGAGTTGGAGTATTACTCTGTCACCCAGACTGGAGTGCAGTGACCGCCCCTGGCCACCACAGCCCCGACCTGCCGGGCTCCGGCAATCCTTCTGCCTCGGCCTTCCAAGTAGCTGGAACTACAGGCGGGCGCTACCACACCCGGCTAGTTTTTGATTTATTGTAGAGGTGAGATCTCGCCAAGTTGCCCAGGCAGGTCTCGAACCCGCAGGCTCAGGCAGTCCACTCACCTCAGCCTCCCAAAGACGCGGGATTTCAGGCTGAGCCACCAAGCCTGACTGGTCTTGCTTTAATGGTGTAATCATGACTCACTGCAGCCCAAATTCCTGGGCTCAAAGGATCCTCCCGCCTCAGCCTCCTGAGTAGCTAGGACTACAGGCACATACCACCACATCCAGTAATTTTATTTTCTGTAGAGACAGGGTTTTGCTATGTTGCTCAGGCTGACCTCAGACTCCTGGCCTCAAGCAACCCTCCCAAAGTGCTGCAATCACAGTTGTGAGCCACCATGTCTAGTTCCAAGTGCCTTTTGAATTATTTTTGTTCCCCTAAAAATAAACTTACCACTACACAGTCCTCTCCCTTCCATTTCCCCATATTATTTAACAATACCACCATCTACCTTTTAAAATGATGGCTTCTGCTACTGCTTAAAGGAAGAAGGAAGCATTTTCCAGAAAACAAGCCTGGAGCCTCCACTCTTGCTTGGCCTCACACTCGGCTATCAGCTCCCTTTCTTTCTTTCCTCCTGCTGAGCCCCTCAGCAGGGCCTGTCAACTTTTCACACAGCTTTGCTGCCCTTTCCTTCTAGGCATGGCCAGCACTTGCTACCTGCCTTGGTGGTAGACAGCCTGGGTGTGCCTTGTTCCCCATGCACTGAGCCTGTTGGAGGTAGCTGCCAAGTCCTTTGTACCCTCTCGTCCTCAGCATCAGTGACTGAAACCTAGAACTCATAAACTCATTTGAGTGACTTGAACTTGGAGCTTCAACACACACATATATAACTGTTAGCTGATTTTACATTAACATCTCCCACCAGCCGGACTTGGTGGCTCAGCCTGTAATCCCAGCACTTTGGGAGGCTGAGGTGAGTGGATTGCCTGAGCCCGCGGGTTTGAGACCTGCCTAGGCAACTTGGCGAGACCTCATCTCTACAATAAATCAAAAATTAGCCAGGCATGGTAGCGCGTGCCTGTAGCTCCAGGTATTCGGAAGACTGAAGCGGAAGGATCGCCGGAGCCCAGCAGGTCGAGGTGGCGGTGGCCGGGAGTGGCCACTGCACTCCAGTCTGGGTGACAGAGTGAGACTCCAACTCAAAAAAAAAAACATCTCCCACCTATTCCACACCTATTCTGGGTGGCCTGCTTTTTTTTTTTTTTTTTTTAATTTAGTTAATTTCTCACCATCCTTTGAGATAACTCTGGAGAGTTAGCCAAAAATTCCCACTCAGAATGTTTGTTCCTGGCTCTGAGAACTCAGATACAGAATATAAAAGAAGTAGTCTGTCCGTATTAAAACCTGGAAGCCATGAATACTGTGTTGTACTTAGAGGACTATACAGCACAGACACAAGTGTCCCGAGAACTTAGTGAGACCTTCCTGGTGGACAGGTGCCATAAACGAAGTAACTCAGAATGGAGTGGGCCCTGTTTGTCTCTGCTACTACCTCCTATACCCTTGCCGTGGTACCTCAACCTTACCTTCCTCCATCTCCAAGTTTTTAAAAATGCATTAAAACAATGACCTTCGTGTCTTTATGCATTTAATTTACTGTAATGAATATCAACATCTCTTTGCATCCACCTCTTTCTTTTCCTCCCTCCTATGCTACACCCTTCGATGCTTCTGCACCCTTCAGGATTCAGGCCTTCTTTCCTTCATTGCCTCATCTCTGCTTGATTCCCTCCCATCACCTGCCATGACGTCTCTTAGCCTTTGCAGGATGAGCTTTTCAAAATGACAGCTAGGTAACTGAGGAGAATTGGCAGGCCTCTCGGGATCTTTTGCCCCTCGTCTCTTCATTCATTCATTCAGTCGTTCAACATTTATTGAATACCTGCTGTGCCAAACACTCTCAGTTGCTGGGGGTACCAGGGGACTAGATCCCTGCCCTCATGGAGTTTAGTACTGGGTAAGTTAATAAGACAGAGAATGCAGAGCAGACTTCCTTGACCAAGTAATATTTGAACTGGATTTTGAAGGATAAATAGAAGTTAGTTATCTAAAGTCTAGTGAAGAGAATGAACATTTCATGCAGAGAGGTGAACATGTTTAAAAGTACAAAGGCATAAAACAGCTTGGTCAGTTCAAAAAATGAGAAGTGTACAAAGTATGGCTAAAACATAGGATCCATAGACAGAAATATCAGGTAAGCAAGGGCCATATCTTGATGGGTCTGCTGTGCTGAGCCAAGGGACTTGAACTTTATTCTTAAAGAAACAGATCTCTGTAATCCCAGCACTTTGGGAGGCCAAAGCGAGAGGATTGCCTAAGCCCGCGGGTTCGAGACCAGCCTGGGCAACTTGTTGAGACCTTGTCTCTACAGTAAATCACAAAACGCTAACCTGACATGGTGGCGTGTGTCTGTAGTTGCAGCTACTTGGAAAGCTGAGGTGGAAGGATCGCCTAAGTCCAGCAGATGGAGGCTGTGGTAGCTGTGAGCATGCCGCTGCACTACAGCCTGGGCAACAAGAGTGAGACTCCAACTTAAAAAAAAAAAAAAAAAAAAAAGAAGCCGGGCTCAGTGGCTCAGCCTGTAATCCCGCGCCTTTGGGAGGCTGAGGTGAGTGGGTTGCCTGAGCCCACGGGTTCAAGACCCGCCTGGGCAGGCGAGACCTCATCTCTACAATAAATCAAAAAATTAGCCGGGCGTGGCAGCACGTGCCTGTAATTCCAGCTACTGGGAAGGCTGAGGCGGAAGGATCGCCGGAGCCCAGCAGGTCGAGGCTGCGGTGGCCGGGAGCGACCACTGCACTCCAGTCTGGGCAACAGAGTGAGACTCCAACTCAAAAAAAAAAATTATTTTTGTTCCCCTAAAAATAAATGTTGAGTGCCTTTGGTATCTGTCTTATCACTACACATTTCCCTATATTACTTAACAATACCACCATCTACCTTTTAAAATGATGGCTTCTGCTACTGCTTAAAGGAAGAAGGAAGCATTTTCCAGTAAACAAGCCTGGAACCTGCACCCTTGCTTGGCCTCACACACAGCCATCAGCTCCCTTCCTTTCTTTGGAAACATGTATAAGGAATATGTATAAACAAGAGAATTGTGTAATGTTAATGGTGAAAATTAGATTAGTCGGGCTCGGTGGCTCAGCCTGTAATCCCGCGCCTGTGGGAGGCTGAGGTGAGTGGATTGCCTGAGCCTGCGGGTTCGAGACCCGCCTGGGCAACAAGACCTCATCTCTACAATAAATTTTTAAAAAATCAGCCAGGCGTGGTAGCGCATGCCTGTAATTCCAGCTACTTCGAAGGCTGAGGCAGAAGAATCGCCAGACCCCAGCAGGTCGAGGCTGTGGTGGCAGGAAGCGGCCACTGCACTCCAGTCTGGGTGACAGAGTGAGACTCCAACTCAAAAAAAAAAAGAAGATTAGATTACTCAGGCAGCAAAATGGAAGATGTTTTGGGTAGGTGAAAGGGAGATGACTCAAGATGCTACAGCAGTTGTCCCAGACAACAAGTAATGTGTACCTAAACAGAGGCTGTGGCCATAGAGAGACAGATTTGATGAGTCTCCGAGATAACTTGCATGACTAGTGAGGAACAGAATTGTTTCAATAACTCCCTGGAGACTGAGTATGCCGATCTTGAGCTGGTCTTGAGGCAGTGGCTCAGTGTTGGGTATTTGAGAGTGAAATGGCTTTAGAACATCTGAAAGACAGTCCATTAGAAAGCTGGATGCCCCAGTCAGGAGCTTGGTGGAGGGTTGGTGAGACCATTTGGGTGAACCAGGCATGCCTAGCAGGAATGCCAAGAGAGATGGGCAGAGAACTGCTGATGAGACCCTTGGGAAAAGGGACATAAAGGGTGAAGGGGGAGGGGTCCACAAAGAGAAGGTAGAAGAGCAGAAATCTAGCAGCATTGTGTAAACACAGAAGACTTGAGAGGATAATATTACTTCAGAGGGATTTGAAGGAGACAAAAAGGAGCATAATGAAAAATACAGATGGAAAAAGGAAGAGCTACAGCCCACCCACACTTACTTGCAGGAATTGGTGGGGGATGGGTATTGGAGGTGAAAGAAGCACTAGAGCTAGGAAGTATTTTTTCAGATTTTTTTTTTTTTTTTTTTTTTTTT